AGGGAAACGTAAAGTAACAGTGAGGTGCCACTTCTCACTCACCCCTTTGGCAAAATTAAAAAGTGCATTAATTCTTCCTGGTGGAATTGGGGAGGAGGTGTGAAATATGCTCATAGATCACTGGTAGAAACGTGAATCGTAAGAACATTTTTGGCATGCTATCTGACAATATTTTGTCACCCTGTAAGAATATTCTCGACGTTGCAATCAGAATAATCCTGGTGATGTAAGTCAGGGCTTGTTAGTCCTCTGCTCAGACTGGGATTCTGCAGCGGCTCCCGATTTTTTATCAGAGTGGAAGCCGAAGTCCTTATTTGCACAGCATAACCGCGTTCTCTCTCACCCCCGTCTGTCTTGTGCTTCTCTGTGTTTGCTGCTGCTTCTGACGGCTCCTGTTGCAGTCCATTCTCGGGGCCCTTGCCCCCTTTTTCCTTCTCCCCAGGACCTTTCTTCCCAGATACACTGTATGTGCAGATATTTCTACATGTCTGTAGTATCTATAGGTATATTCCCAACCTTCTTTAGGTCTTTACCCAAACACTGTGTTTTCAAAAGCTTTCTTTAGCCACCCTCAGTAAAATGAACAATCCCCTCCCCGACACTATCTCCCCTCCCTACTGTTACAAACAGTTAGGACTTAGGCAGTTTGGAGACTTATGGGCAAATCAGGTTTAGATTAGGTGGGTACTTTGTTATCACTTCCTGAGTTTGTGACCGGGGCCCGAGGGTACAAGAGCACCTGGCTCCCGGGGTCCCAAACAGACCAGGTTTGGACAAAGTCCGAAGGCAGAGAGAGGAGCGTAGGTGAAACAAGAAAGGGGTTTTGATTTTCAGTGAGGCCACTACCGGGAAGACAGTGGACCAGGGTCTCAAAGACTGTCTCCAAAGTGCTGAAAGTACGTCTAGGTTTACCTAAGGAAAATATGGGGCAAAGGTCACTGGGTACCTGCAGGTGGGCAGTAAAGGTCAGGTCAATCCTTGTCTTAGGGTCAATCACAGGGGGTCTTGGTGGGGTTGGGACCCCGTCCGTCTCTCTCGCTTTGCCCTCCAGGGCTTTTGCCTGAGTTAAGAAGAAGAACTTTATCAATTAGAAAGTACCCACTGAGGTCTGAATGGAGGTAGTACCAGCAACCTCCTCCTCGGATTTGATTAACTGCGAGAGTGGCTCACAGGACTCAGAAAAGCATTTCACTTACTAGGGTATTGGTTTATTATAAAAGGATATAAAAGAACATAACTCAGAAACAGCCAGACGGAAGCATAGGGTGAGGTATGTGGGGAGAGCTTTCACTCCCCACATGCCTCTGAGCTCCATCCTTTTGGAGTTTTACAGAGGCTGTGTTACATAGCTGCACTTGATTGAATCAGTGGCCGCTGGTGATTTAACTCCGTCTCTAGCCCCTCCTCTCCCTTCCCTGGAGGTGGGATGGGGTGAGGAGGGGTTGGGCTGAAATTTCCAACTCTCTGATCCAACTGTTGGTTTCTCTGGCAAACCAGGCCCTATCCTTAGGGGACTTTCCAAAGGTCACCTCAAGAACTAACAAAAGATCCTTCCATATCTGATCCCTTAGCAGATCACAAGGATTTTCTTTTCTTTATGAGATAACCCATAGGAGTCACCTGAGGCATGGAGAATAAATCAGGAAAAGTAGCAGAGAAGTGGTGAGGGATGGGTTTTAGGAGCCAAGGATTTTTATTGAGTCTTTCTCTTGCTATTTACTTAATTCTTTTGTTACTTTCTGTTTCTCCCCTTCTGATCCTGAGCATCTGAATTCTGCTGGAGAAAACACCTGGTCATGCTGTCTGATTTTTAAATTCTCTTTATTGTTTTCTAAATTACAAAAGTAATAGGGCCTGGGTGGAAAAACAATTTAAATAGTCTAGTTGTGTATTAAGTAATGAAGAGATGCCCTCTTCTGATACCTCCCCTTATTTCTTTTTCCAGAAAAAAAAAAACCTCCACTGTTGTGCATCCTTCAAAAGACTTTATTTTTTATTTGTTAACACCACCCCCTTGGTAAAGGAGGGATGATAATCCAACTCTTCTTACTTACAGGATGCAATGAGGCTGTCTGGTCCCATGTAACCCCAAGGAGAAATAATTCTGAGGATTGTGTTTTTACTCAAACAAATTGCTTCCCAAATTGTTTATTTCATCTACATTTTTGTATACTGGCATAGAGTTCTTCTTAAGAATACCTCCCCCCCCCCCCTTAGGGATTTTCTATCTTATTAACGACTTTGAGTAGGGGAATGATAAAATGAAATTCATTATACTTAATTTTGTGGATGGAAGTTCTGGGGAGGAGTTGAGGGTGATTAGTTTCCTGATTTTAGAAAAGGAGGACAGATGTGTATTCAACTTCGGGAAACCCTCTGTGGTCTGGCTCACAGGTCTGTTGGCCTCACTTCTCAGCCTTTCTGTCCCTTTAAGTATCTCTTCAAGTTCTTCCCTGGTGCCCCAGTACCATCAGAGTTTCAGTTTGTCTGTTGAAGACTTGATTGTTTTTTCAGTTCTCTTTTGTTTTTGCTGACTCTTTCCTGGCTCTTAGAGCTAAGTGCTTCACTTGAAAGGTGTGCACTGTTTTGTACTGGAGGCCCTTAAGGAGGGGAGTGTTCAGGAGAGAATGATAGGATCAGTGGAGATTCTCACTGCTTTAAAGGTGGGCAAAAGAAGGCTTGCCTGAGAAATCAAGGATGTTAAAATACTTCTTTTGATATCTTTACATTGAGTTAGCAGTTTAGTCTCCCCTAAGGAATTATTAGTTCTCTTTTCTCTTCAGTAGTTAGGATATGGTGCCATTATCTGATTAAGCAATACTGATTTGAGATAATATTTTTGTAACTCCTAATCAAGAAGAAGAAAACTGTGTTGAAAGTTACTGGTTTAATTATATCTCAGTATTTTGGGGGATGATAGGGTATTTTGGGGGATGATAGGGTATTTTGGTCTGGATTTGATCAGGTGAGATGGCTAAACCTAAGGCTGATTCACCATAGAGATGATTTCACTCGTAGAGTAGATTTTTGTTTTTACTTATGATAAAAGGAAATAAGTATTTCTTACAGATTTGCTTTTGTAGCCTGCTGGAGGCTGACTGGTCTCTACTTCCTTCCTGGTCATGGGAGTGCTGCTGTTCTGGGAAACCAAGTGTCTGTTCTAGGTTTGCAGCCTGGCTCTCCACGCCCGCCATCCTGCTCAGGCAGGACTGTGGTTCCTGGTTCCTGGTTCCCCAGCAGAGAGCAGAAAGCACTGCTGTTTTTCTGAACTCCCATGTGCCTCTATGTGTGTGTGTTTGGGGGCGAGGGGGTTGCTCAAAGAATTGGGCACAAGGGGTTTGAATTTTTTGTCTAGTCCTGAGAATTAAGTGAAGTAAATCATCCCAAGTCCCTGAGTTTTTTGCAGAAAATAATTTAATTCAGATCTTGCCTGGGGCATCCAGACCCTTGGTGAACACGGTGGAACCACTTTGTGGCAGCCCCTTCTGTTCCTTGCTGCACCGAAGTGCTCTAGACCAGAAGTGCTACGACACCAGTTTGTATTTCTAATCTGTGTGAACTGATCCTTTATTTATAAAAGCCAATAAAAATGAATTTTTGTCAAAATGAAATAAAAAAGGACCTATGAACAGATGTCCAAAGTTCTTATTATTAGGATTAGCAGACATAAAATTATTTTATAGCTTTAAGACTTTTAAAATTTCTTTTAATTTCTATAATTATCTCATTGTGGGCTCATACCAAATAATTCACTGCTTGGCACTGGTCCTTGAACAATGCTCTGAGGGACACTGCCTTACATCTCCCTTTGTTCTCTGATAGAACCCCTCATTCTTTTTCTTTTTTTCTTTTTTCACATAGAACTCCTCATTCTTGAATTTAGGAGCTTAGTGAAGCCAAGTGCTGCTGGGAAAGGTTGTATCTTAAATCACACTTGAGCACTGTCTCAAGTTAGGGTATAGGAAGCACAATTTAAAATTTCATTAACGGGGCACTAAACAGATGTCACTTTAGCATCCGACTTAGGCTCTGGTCATGATCTCACGGTTCGTGAGTTCGAGCCCCACATCTGTGCTGACAGCACAGAGCCTGCTTGGGATTCTCTGTCCCCTCTCTCTGCCCCTCCCTGACTCATGCTTTCTCTTTCTCTCAAAATAAATAAATATTTTTCATTAACTTTGAAATATTGTTACTGAAGAATCAGGACGTCAGTGTTTGAATTACCCAAGCAACAGATCTGGAGCGATGTGAAATTTGAGAAACTTAGTAAAATTTCTTAATTCCTTAAAAATCAATCTGTTACTAAGATAAGTGAGGAGAAATATTTGTCTTTTCTTTGCCACCAATTCCCAGATAATGTGGTTGCCTCCAGAAAAAGACTAACCAGGGGCACCTGGGTGGCTCAATCGGTTGAGCGTCTTGACTTCGGCTCAGGTCATAATCTCACGGTCTGTGAGTTCCAGCCCAGCGTTGGCCTGTGCTGACAGCTGAGGCCTGGAGCCTGCTTCCAATTCTGTTTCTCCCTCTCTCTCTGACCCTCCCCATTCATGCTCTCTCTGTCTCAAAAATAAATAAACATTAAAAAAAAAAAAAAGAAAAGAAAGATAAAGAAAAAGACTATCCTGGAATCTAAATGTTCCAGAAGAATAAATTGGATTAAAGCGTTGCTAGATAGGATTTTTGAGTCACTGCTTAAATCCTAAACTTTTCAAAGTAGAAGCGCTTCCCCGAGGACCAGAGAATCTTACCTTTTCTTTTTTTTTCTCACAAATTTACCATAGCTTTGACCAAAGGATGAATCTTTCTTTAGTTCTTTCCATAAGCAGAATTGAACTTCATGACTACGTTAGTGTTATCAAAACTTGACTTGACTTTGAGGCTGGGATGCTTAAATTACTGTGCTGGGGATTTAAAATTTCACTTACTGATAGATTTAGATTTTGTGAATTTTGGCTTCATTCTTTCCCTACTCTAAATTATATATAATGTTTACTTTTTAGGAATTACCCAACTCTGTCTTTCTGGTGATGGAGGTAGGTAGTAATACGTGCTGTTTAATTTACTTCAGATTCCTTTTGATTAATATGTACTTTAAAATTGACAGTAGATTATTTTTACTTGAAATTTTGAATTAAACTCCATTTAGTGATTTATATTCTACTTTATAAGGAATATAAAATTTTTTGATTCCATAGTGCTTATGTTTTTCAGACTAGATGTACATTGTACACAAAGTATTTTTAATTGAAATTAACTGGTTGCAGATTGAATTAATCTTGAATTGGTTCCCTTATTTTAATTATTTTTTCTTCTATGTATCAGTACTGCAATGGTGGAGACCTGGCAGATTATTTGCAAGGTAATTTTTGTCTGTCTGTCAGTGTTCAGTGAAGATAGTACTGTGTGTGGTCTGTTGGATCCTGAGAGTTGCTTCTGAAGTAATGCTGACTCTGTTCTCTGCACTTGTATAGAAACAGTCAATAAATGTTTGTGTACTTGTTTAAGTGTGGTCACTTTGCCAACCAGTTGTCATTTGTTGTGGTTTTATTCCTAAACTTTATTTGCTTCTAGGTACTTACTTTATGTGTGCCTCTTTCTGACAGTGTTTGAGAGACGAGTCCTCTCCCCGAGAGAGAAAAAAACAAATATGTAGGTTCCTTTCTTCAAAAGACTCTGCTGAGTTGCCATCAGTGGGCCTTTAGTTCCTTCTGTTTCTTTAAAAAAAAAAAAAAAAAAAAAAATGATGAAAACATGTATCTAAGAATGTGTTTGTTAATGAGAATCTTTCTTGTAAATTAAAAAGTTACAAAGGATTAAAGGTAACACTGAAATTATTTCGTGGCATAGAGGTGAGATTTTAGTACTAGATGGTGCTAGAAATTCTGCGTCCAGAATGTATGTACATAGGATAAAAGGTGTTCAGATCAATTGTGTCTCTCACAAGTAATTTCTAAATGGTGTTAGATGAGGCCGGCATCTACTTGTTCACTCCTTAAAATGCAAGGGAAATATGAAAACAAACAAACAAAAAAAAAAACAGTGAAAGGTTGATAATACCCCAACCTCTAGATAGATCCGGGCAGTTGATGGCGAAGTCACGACATCAGTAGATACACTTGCAAAGGGTATAGACAGTTTACAAGAGCATACTAAAAATGTTCCATTTCACCTAGTAATCAAGGAGTGCGATTGCAAATTTAAGTCTTTAAAGTATAAAACATTGCTCACTTTCGAAAGCTGCGTGGAGATTACTAGAAACAACATTGGGAGTGTTGCCACAGGCCACAACCGGTTGGTTGGTGTGGGGTGAAGTGGCCCTGGGCCTGAGGCTCCGGAGCATCTCCTTCCTGGCCTGGACCGGGCGTGCTGGGGACAGCGACGACCCCGGGGGGCCGGGCGACACTGCGGATGTCACATGGGCTCTTCTGCCGGGCACAGCGGGCGAACGACAGCAAAGCTTCAACCTGACCCGGAAGATGGGGGCGGGAGAGGAGCTGAGACCCTCCTTGTCTCTGCGCCACGCACCCCCCTCTCCGCCCCGTTAGTCCCGCGTGTTGTGTTCCTGCCCCAAGAGGAGACTACCGGGGCTCCGAGGCTGCTGCTTCTCCGGCTTCCCTCGCACAGAAGTGCTACCCGGGGGTGGGGTGGGGATGGGGGTGGTCTCCGGGGGCGGGGAGGGGGGGGGTCTACCCTGCCCTCCAGTGCTGTGGGCCCTTCCCATCAGCCTAGGGAGAGGGCTGTGCCTCTTCTAAAGCCAGCATGCCTTAGGGAAGGCCCCGGAGAGAGACTGGATTTGGAAGTTCCTTTTAGGGCTAGGTGATTGCTGGGAAGGGTCAGGGGGAGGAGGGAGGGAAGAAACTGGTATAAATGCCGCCCTCCCCCCCCATTAAAAAGATTGTAGTTGAAGATCCAGTGTAAGCCCTTCTGTAGTCCTCTCCTGGCTTTCCCCCTTAAAGACAATGGTTATCTGGAATCTGGTAGTTTATTCCATGTGCAGTTTGTGTTTTTCCCAACCGAGATTCTTTTTTTCTTAATCCTCATTTGGTGTTTTTCTCATTTGGTTATATATGTATATGTCAAATGTCACTTACTAATAGGACACATGAGACAGGCACTTTGGTCACCACTGGTGGAAAGTTCAAGCTGGGAAACACCCTGCTTCTACATCCTTCTCAGTCAGTGACTCTCTAGTTCCTTGATGTTCTCAGTGATCCAGATAAACGCACCTTTCCCCGGGGTCAGATTGAGTGGCACCCTATCAGTTTAGTGCCCTCACTGGAGTATCAGTTTCCCTCACCGACAGAAGTCCTACTCGCTGACACAGGCACTGTTACTGGGGTAGGTCGCTTTGACAGCAGTTTTGTCCCTCATGTTGAACTCCATGTTTGATATTCCGGAGCAGTAGTGTTAGAACAGGAGGCCCCAGAGTGAGGGGTGTATGAGCCTGAATGTCGGAGTCAGACAGGCAAGCCGCTCTTCACATCCCTTAATTGCTGTGATTTTGGTCGAGTCACTTAGCCTCCTTCTGGTGCCTCTCTGCTGTAGTTCTTACGGGAGTCCCTTGTCATTTGAAAACACTTGTAAAGGCATATAAGAGAAATCTGGACCTCAAGGAATTTTCGAGAGTTAAACTGTCCAGTATGGTAGCCACCAATCACGTGGGACTATTGAGCTCTTAAAATGTAGACTAGCCTGAAGATGTGCTGTAAATGTGAATATATTGATTTTCGAACGCTTTGAGGAAGAAAATGACTGTATCTCATTAAGTATGTTGATTATAAGTTGAAATCATATTTTGGATGATTATTTTCACCTGTTTCTTTTTACTTTTTAAAATGTGGCTACTAGAAAATTTAAAAGTTATGTATGTGGCTCACATACTGTTTCTGTTGGAGAGCGCTGGTCTAGAAGATCTAATGCCATTACTTCACAACACGATGATGATCATTTAATCCTTCTATTTGCTTTGTTAAGGAAAATGCTATTAATGTTTTCAAAAGCTAGAACACGGATTCTACTGATTGCAAGTTTAAAACAAATTTTAAGTTAATTATCAAGTTGTACTTCTCCATGAATTCCAGCAGAATATTGAGTGTGGCAGGAGTGGCTGAGCCTGCTCCCTCCGGGCTGATTTGCTCAAATGCTTTTTGCATTTATTTTTTTGGAAGAGTGTCGATGTTGGCCATGCCTTTAAAATAGTAAGTTTTTAACATGGGAAATACAGTTTATAGGATCGTGATGAGAAATATGCATTCCACGTTCGTAAAAATATGAATATTTACTACAGTGTGTGTTCAGAAACAGCTTATGTTAGATCATTAATCCCCTTCCCCCACCCACCAACACACAAGAACAGCGTTAGAATTTGGACTCTGAAGCAAATAAATTTTAAGTGTATTCAATTGTATGTCATGGGGCAAAAATACAAGTTCTAAGCATCTGCAATCATTTGAAGTAACAAAATGTTTCTAATCCCTAAAATGAAAATGTAAATGAATGAAACAGAAAACAAATACTGCCCATTTTAATCTTTGCAACGTAACTTAAGTAGGCATTACAAAAATAAAGCTCCACGCTCCCATCATTGGTTTGATCCACCCACTGAGATCCGGAAGAATACCCTCCATATTTTTAGCAGTGTTTATCTCTAAGGGATGGCATATGGGAGATATCGCTTTTTATATGTTTTAGTGTATTTAGATTTCTTTCTTTTTTGACAGCATCAAAGAATAAAAATGGGGGATAGGTTAAGAACAGCCCTCACAGAAAAAAGTATTTGATAATTTTTTAAACCAAGAGGATATATTTTATTTGAGGGTGTTAAGGGCTTAAAATGTCATTATAACATGTCATTGAAATGATTTTAAAACTATAATATTTCATTTCCAAATGTAATGTTATTTTTATCTTCTTAATTGCATATGGAAAGGTCATGTGGAACATATTCTAGAGTTGTAAGGGCAGAAGTATGTTCACAGAGGATTTAGTGGACAGGGTCGTGGATGTTAAATCCTAATGTAGCTTCCAGGAATCACGCTTGGGACTTTTAGAGATCCACAGGAATAAAAAGTCTGTATTTGTGTACTGACTATGTTTGAGTACTTACTCTGTGCCAGGCTTTTTGTAAAGTCTTCATTATTAAAGGTGCTGTCTTGTTTGATGGTCACAACAGCCCCAGGTGGTTAGTCTGATTTTGGCTTTTTATAGATGAGGAAGTAGGCACAGAAGGTTCGTCTTCCAGGGTCACACAGGAAGTAGGAGGAGGAGCTGGGATTTGAGCAAAGGCAGCCTGACTCCAGACCCAGCTGTTTACCATTCCATGCTCCAGCATACACACAGACACACTTCAGGATTTACTGAATGATTGAGCACCCTCCAATAGTGTTCATTCTGTCTCTCTACAGTAGTGAAAGATACTGTGGTAGGTCAGGAGTGTTGCAGGGCAGGGGTGATGAGGGGAGGGAGATGTGGGAACACGGATCCCTGCCTGACACCTGCAAGTGGTGGTGAGGTCCAGGTCTCTATGCAAGGATTTCACCTGTCTTTAATTTGTGTTCTTGTTAATTGTTGGAAATACATATGGACCTTTATCCCAGATATTTGGCTAGTAAGAAGGGGAACTTGACTTTTTGTCTTCTTAAGGGGAAGTACCTGTTGTGTGTGCAGTAATGTGGACACCTTCACAGTAAAAATGGGAAAGGAAAAACACTAGTGAAATGAAATGCAAATGTAAATCAGTTCTCTTTACTACAGATCGTGTAAAATGTTTGAGGTGTCTGATATCTTTTCATAGACTTAAATTATTAGAGTAAAAGAAAGAAAAAAAAAACCTGGTTCCTTATTCCCTCTACATTCTTAACTCGATTCTGTTGATAGAAGATGCAGATGGTATCTGAGTTTGTGTGCTTAAATATTTATGCAATTCCTTTTCTACCAGCTAAGGGAACTCTCAGCGAAGATACTATTAGAGTGTTTCTGCATCAGATTGCAGCTGCCATGCGAATTCTGCACAGCAAAGGAATAATCCACAGGGATCTCAAACCACAGAACATCTTGCTGTCATACGCCAATCGCAGAAAGTCCAACGTCAGTGGTATTCGCATCAAAATAGGTAAATGGCCACATAGCGTTTTATGCAAAAGGACGCTTTTGAGACTTCGTAGTTTTGGATGATTTCAGTTCAGCTTTGTAGAATGACGGGTTTTGTTGATGCACTTTGGGCATTTTTATTGAGTTCAGTGAGGTGCATTTGGATATGGGAAACTTTACATTACTGGTAGCATATGCTGAATCTTAGGACCCAGGGGCCCATGGATTCCCAGCAGCAAACCCTATCCTGCTTCTCATCAGAGGGAAGCTGATGTGTTACAGTCCTGGCAGCAATGGAATGACACTGGTTCTTTACAACTCATGGGATTTTAACGCAAGGGGTCGAAGAGACCATTTAACTCAGCCTTTCCTTTTTGGCTCTTGTATGTCACAATTATTTCAAGCAGTTTCTAATAATAGGCCTTTTTTCTTTTTTTTTTCTTTTTTTTGTAATAGTAGGTATTTTTCAAGCTTTTCTTTTTGTACAAAAAAGTACAAATATATATATATATATGTGTGTGTGTGTGTGTGTGTGTATATATATATATATAATTTTTTTTTTTTACCAGTATTTAAAGAAATTTCTGATTTCACATGTGTTACATATGGATCTGGAAAAGGCAAAAAAAAAAAAAAAAACCCAGTTCAAATTCTATACCTGGTGTCATATTTAGTGAGAGCTGCCTTAATGAATCATCTGTTACAATTAGCACTTTGTTTTGCAAAGCTTGGTGTTCCCTCCTTGTTTCAGGACTGGCAGGGCAGTGACTTGTTCGGCTGGTGGCCAACACTGTTTTCTGGCCTGTGGAAATTGAGGTAGCAACTTTTCTCTTTGGCAGACAGGCTTATTCAATAAGCCGCAAATCTCTCACAATTCCTTGTGCCCTCTTGTATCTTGAAGATACGATTTGTGTCAAGCATGAGTAAAAGTATCGTTTGTTTTTCTCCTTTTTATTTTGTGATACAGCGGATTTTGGGTTTGCTCGTTACCTGCATAGTAACATGATGGCCGCAACCCTGTGTGGGTCCCCAATGTACATGGTGAGTGAGGGTTTTTTTTGTCCTGACATGTGTAGATGATGGCGCCTTAGCCCTGGGATTTAAGTATAATGGTAGTTTCCAAGTAAGATGGGATTTTATGTATGGTCTATCTTGTCGTTTGTAATTGCTAATAATTACTAACATTGATTATGTTACTGATAATGCTATAAGTCATCTTTTGCTTTAGCACAGTGGACCGGGGGTGCCCGGGTGGGCCAGTCAGTTAAGCATCCGACTTGGGCTTGGGTCATTGTCTTGTAGTTTGAGCCCGCGTCGGGTTCTGTGCTGACAGCTCAGAGCCTGGAGCCTGCTTTGGATTCTGTGTCTCCCTCTCTGCCCCTCCCCTGTTCATGCTCACACTCTCTCGCTCGCTCGCTCGCTCTCTCTCAAAAATAAACATTAAAAAAAATTATTAACATAGTGGACCATAAAAGTCACTTTTACCCACTAGTTTAAATTAAAAAAGAAATTTGTTATTATGGTAGGAATTTCCTATTAGATTACACTGAAAATAAAAATTGATTAAGCATGGTCATGTTACACTTGATGTGTAATATTTGGGAAAACTTGAAAAAAAAACCACAACCTTTTGGGGGCATTTCTTCATTTATAGGATGAACATGCTCATCTTTTGCATGTTATTTCTCTTGACAAGATCCCTGTGTCAGAAGGTTTTTCAGGGCGCTGGGTGGCTCAGTCAGTTAAGCATCTGATTCTTGATTTCAGCTCAGGTCATGATCTCACGGTTCATGGGTTTGAGCCCCAGTGCAGAGTCTGCTTGGGATTCTCTCTCTCTTCCTCTCTGTGTCCCTCCCCTCTCCTCTAAATAAATAAATAAATAAATAAATAAATAAATAAATAAATAAATGGTATTTCAATTAGTGTTACACTTAAAGCTGAAAATTCTTAGTTCTCCCCTTTATCCTTTCATGTGGATGTTGTCAGGTCTGATAGGGGAAGGCTATGAAACTTCGGAACTAATGTGAAGCATCAAGCCTGGAAATAGCTTAATTCTGGGCCTTCAGAATTTTGCAAAGTACATCAGTGTGCCTATCTTAATTCAAAATTTAAAATGGGTTTGTGTTCAATGAGGATTTCCTCTAATCTAAATCAACTCTGAGATTAAGGAACTAGTAATCAAAGTTAAAAAAAATCTTTTTTAAATTAGATTGACTTTCTTGATCATAATTTTACTGCTTATCCAATAAACTTTATCATTTAATGTCACTTAAAAGTGAGTTTGTAGGGGCGCCTGGGTGGCGCAGTCGGTTAAGCGTCCGACTTCAGCCAGGTCACGATCTCGCGGTCCGTGAGTTCGAGCCCCGCGTCAGGCTCTGGGCTGATGGCTTGGAGCCTGGAGCCTGTTTCCGATTCTGTGTCTCCCTCTCTCTCTGCCCCTTGCCCGTTCATGCTCTGTCTCTCTCTGTCCCAAAAATAAATAAACGTTGAAAAAAAAAATTAAAAAAAAAAAAAAAAAGTGAGTTTGTACTTCTTGAGTATGAAATGCGTTCAGGCTTGAACCATCGCCTTGAGGATGGAGACAGTGCTTGGGCCAGTTCTTGAAGGGAGTCGACTCAGTGAGAAGCATACTAGGCACGACAAATAAAAATGGTACACGTGGAAAAGAAAGTTTCACTGCTTTAGGTATATTTGACATTTCTATTTAACATTTGTCCAGATTGATGGTATTTTTAAAAAGCAACATCTAGTGAGAGGTGGGAACAGAGCTGTGCAAAGCAAAAGAGAAAACGTCTTTGCTTTTTAGACAGTCCTTTACCGTGTTTTCATGATAGTTTGTATATTGTTTTAAAAGCTTTCAAATGACAGGAAAAAACTTGTGTCCCTATTGTCCACATTTAACAAAGTTAACATTTGGCCATGTTTGTCTTGATCTTTTTTTTTTTTTTCCTAGAAAGGAGGAAAATCGTTCAGAAACAGTCCAAGTCCTTTATATCTTTCCCTCTTTCCGTTTTCCACTCTCCTACCCTGGAAGTAGCCTCTGTCTTATAGTTGGTGTGTGTTTTTCTCTATTATAAACTCAATGCTCTTACTGTATTGCTGTCCATGGTGATATATAGAAGTGTTCGTTTCTATAAATTGCTTCTTTTCATGCCACATTGTTTTTGCGATTTACCAGGAAATCCCAACGTATGAATGTGGTTTAAGTTCACTGCAGGATCGTCTGATCGGGGAAATGTCACAATGTGATCCTATTTCAGTAGTTCTGTTAGGAGCATGACCTTTACCAGTTAGTTAATTTATGCATATTAATTATATAAATAACATAATGCATGTGTGTGGAATGTTTCTATCCCCAGGCTCCTGAGGTTATTATGTCTCAACATTATGATGCTAAGGCAGACCTGTGGAGCATAGGAACGGTGATATATCAATGCCTAGTTGGAAAGCCACCTTTTCAGGTAGCCTGACTTTTTACTTAGGTGCTTAATTTTGGGATCTTCTCATTTTGCAGTTGCCTCTGACTTCTAAAACGGGGGATACTTTGAAAGCAGTGTTTTGGGTTCCCTTGTGACTTAGTTTGATTTTCTTACAGGCAGAAACTGCTACAGTGAGCTAGAATGTCTTTTGCTTTTCCTTTTTTTTTTTTTTTTTAACCTGCCTTCCCTTTGTACCTGGCCTGAGCATAAAGCCTGTTGTATGTTTACAAGCTGATGAAAACTAGCCAGGGTCCAGACTAACAGCCTGGTGGGAAATGGGAGTGAACAGTGATGTCGGCGCTCCCTGCTTGGCTTGGTTTGGGGGTCCTGCCCTCGCAGGTGAGGGCTGGGCCTGGTCTGGGAAAGTAACTGGAAACTGTCTTCAGCTCTCTATTGCCACCACTGCTGGGTGAGAGAGAGTTAGTTGTTCAGTCTTTATGGAAATTATTTTGGGTTTTTCTTCCCACCCCACCCCCATATGCTGTCAAAAAGAGGCCCTCTAGAACTCATCATGATGACCCCTCCTGAGTTCATAATTGCCCAGTTTCCAAGAGGTTTTTTGAATCTGAAAACTGCAGCAAAGTAAAATTATCTGTCCAAAATGGTGTTAAATAGTGACACAGCCAGTTTCGACACTTAACTTTCTCAGTCTGGTTTGTCACGTACGGGCAGCTTCACTAAGCCAGCAGCTCTTGTTCTGAGGGTCCTTCCTGTTGCTGTGGAGGGACTAAAAGTTAGAGGTAGGTATACTTTGTTCTCTCCCTTGAACCCCTGACAGTCCTAAGGTAAAATATACCTTGATTTTTACACAACAAAACTGTACCTGTTTGGTAATGTAACCTCCAGAATAGTGATTCTTAACTTTTTCTAAGTTTCAGGCTCCTCTAGGGGGCTGAACTCAGAAAAGAGACATTATGCCTGGATATGCAGAATTTGCACCCAGTTTTAGAGGTTTTTAGGTTCCTAGTGCCCATCTGTGGTTCCTTTAGCAATCCATGACTTTCAGGTTCAGAGTCTATGTTCTTTGGCAAGAATATGAGTATGGATCACATGATTTGAAATTTTTGCCCCCATTATTTAGGAAATAAAATCTTTTTTTTTTTTTTTTTAACAGGCCAATAGTCCTCAAGACTTAAGGATGTTTTATGAAAAAAATAGGAGCTTAATGCCTAGGTATGTGTTTTGGTTACACTGGGTTTTATTGTCTGTGAATACAACGTTAAGTGAACTCTGTGCTTTATGTGTTTCTGTGCGCGTGAGTGCTTTATCTTTTTCTTATTGGATTGTGAGAGGCTGGATTATTTCTCACTTGCATTTGTTTAAGCCATGCCCTCTTCCAGACAGAATTGGAGGTGGCTCCTTTTCTAACAGACAACTCTAGCAGATATTAGTGCCAAGCTAAAGTGGTGTTAAACTCCAGGCTGCCCTTGTGAAGTGCTTTATCGCTGCCGACATTCAAACAAATAATATTGAGAAGCACAGTGCAGGGACATTCCCAGACGGATGCTTTTTCTCAAAGACAGTTGCTTAGTGCTTTGGTTTTTGTTTCTGTTTTTCTCCTGTAAGAAATGTGGTTTTACTGCAATCATCTTCATATGAAATGTAGTATTTGTGAAAGTGCATTTGCCTTTTCCTTTATCATAATGAAGGCCAAGGTCATATAGCAAGTATGTATAAACTCATCACTTAGATCCTTTTTTTTTTTTCCTTTTTCCCAGTATTCCCAGAGAAACATCACCTTATTTGGCTAATCTCCTCTTGGGCTTGCTTCAGAGAAACCAAAAAGACAGAATGGACTTTGGTAAGTAATATTTTCAAATTTTGTATTTCTGTGTATCCTAAAAAGATTTTGAGAAGATGCTATGGAATTTTCAGGAGAAAATTAAAGTCAATTTCTTTCTTTCTCTTTGTCTTTTTTCTTTCACTTATTTTATAAATATTTATTGAGCGCTTGCTATGTTCTAGGTACAGGAAATAGAGTAATAAAGAAAATCCCTGTCCTCATGTAGCATATATTCTCTTGGGGGGGGAGGCAGACAGATGATAAACTATAATTATAAACCATATAGAAGGTGATAAGTGCTGTGGAGAAAAAGAAGGAAGAGAAATGTGGTGGGGAAGGGATGGAGATTTTAAATAAGGCAGCCAAGGAAGCCCTTTCTGAGAAAGTGGCCTTTGAATAGAGACTTGATTGATGGATGGCAGGACAGTGAGCTAGCGGGCAGTGGGCGGTGTGCATATCTGTGGGAAGAGCTTTCCAGGCGGAGTGAACAGCCAGTACAAATGCCCGAAGCTGGGAGCGTGGCTTGTAAACTGGAGGAACAGTCAGAGGGCCAGTTAAAGACTGGGGCTTTCGCTCAGTGTGCTGGGGAGGGTTTGAGCAGAGGAGTAATGGGATCTGACCGATGTTTTCAAGTGGCTCGTTCTGGTTGCTTGTTTTGAACTCTGGTGAAGGGTGTGGAGGTAGCCCGAGGACCGACGAGGGAGGCCAGTCGGGAGACGGCAGTTGCTCACTTAGGCTGGGATAATAACAGCAGAAGTGGTGAGGAGTCCGTTGACTACTGGATCTTTTTGCAGGTAGAAGCAGCAGTGTTTACAGATGAATTGGGTGTGCGGTGTGAGAGAGAGAGAGGACTCAAAGAGGACTCCAGGGTTTCTGGCCTGAGCACGTGAAGGAATGGAGTTGTTGGTTACAGACACAGGAAAGGCTGGAGCAGGATACGGGGCAAATCAGGACTTGGGGTTGACCGTGTTAAAGTGAAGATACGCATTTGTGTAACTGTAGATGTCAGAAGGCACTTGGCGTTCAGAGGACAGGTCTAGGCTGAGGGTATACTTGGGAGAAGGTCTGGGAGGAAGGAGAAGAGAAACACTCCATAATCCTGGTCGAAAAGTCTCTGGCCTCAAAGATGGAGTTTAGGGAGACAGGGAGGGGCAGCTCCGTGTTAGTGACCCTTGTGAACATGTGCTCTGTGGCCGCTTGGTTCTCACCGTGGCCTTAGGAGAGCAGCTGTGGGTGCTCCATGGAGGCTGTGGTTTTAGATTTTTAGACTTTAAAAAAAAAATTTTTTTTTAATGTTTATTTTTGACGGGGGGGGGGGGGGGGGGGGGCAGAAAGAGAGGGAGACGCAGAATCCAAAGCAGGCCCCAGGCTCTGAGCTGTCAGCACAGAGCCTGACCTGGGGCTTGAACTCACAGACCGCGAGATCATGACCTGAGCTGAAGTCGGACGCTCAACCGACTGAACCCCTAGATTTTTAGACTCTTAAGGCAAAGCTTCTATCATTGATTTTGAGCCTTTCTTCTTTTATAATCTAATCACTGAAGCTGAAACTTTAAGTATTTTAAGTTAACACAGTCTATTTTCAAATAATATTTTACCACCTCTTGTGTGATGAAAGAACTTGGAAACCTTAATACTGTAGGCATTATCCAGTTCTTGAAGGTTTTGAAAGGAAATTTTTCCCTGAAATTGTTTGGGTCTCAGCTTCTCTTTGCGGCACAGTTTGTTAACTTGTTCTTATCAATGTAAACATGTAAAAGATTGTCTTTTCAATCTTGTTCTTAGCAGTCATGTGTAAAAACAGCATGACTCAAATTTAAATGTCAGACCAGAAAAGCCATAAAACATGTTCAGTGAAAATGCTTATTAAATTAACCTTGACCTTGATGTTTTTAGGGAAAAAAAAAGTGTTTGATTTTTCCTATAGTAATTAGTCGTAATAGTAATAGCGATTTGCAAAAACTTATGCCAGAATTTTGGTCTGTTAATGTGTATTGTGGAAGTCTACAAAGGCTTCTGGATAAGACAGACCAGGGTTTGAAATCTAGTCTCTAAACTTACTAGCTCTTTGACAGTAGAGAAGATACATGGCCTTTATGTGCTTTAAGTTCCTTATCCATACAAGGAAGGTAATGCCTTGCATTAAGTTTGTGTGGGTTCAATGACCTGGTATGTGAAACATTGTCCTAGCATATGTTCTTAGTAGACAGTGGCTCTAATAGTTTCCATATAGGGGAAGAGAAAAAATAGCTTGAATATGTATTAAAGTTTTGTAAAGTTGGAGTTACATATCAGCAATCTACTTGATAGATATTTTTATCTTTCAGATGGAGAAATGAAATTGAGAGTTGCTCTATAACCATGAGAAATGTGGGTCAATAGTGAAACAATATGTTCATGGATAATAGTTTTAAAATTATAGATTATAGGGGTGCCTGGTGGCTCATTCAGTTAAGCGTCCAACTCGTGATTTCAGCCCAGGTCATGATCTCACAGTGAGATCAAGCCCCGTGTCAGGCTCCGTGCTGACAGCTGACAGCTTGGAGCCTGCTTGGGATTCTCTCTCTCCTCTCTCTGCTCCTCCCCTGCTTGTGCTCTCTCAGTCTCTCAAAATAAATAAATCAACTTAAAAAAAAAACGATAGATTATATTAAATATTTATATACTTTCCATACCATGGCAATTGATTTGGAATGCGGTTTCGGAGTGTTTGCGTTCAGTTTTTTTTTTTAATCTTTTCTATTTCATCCCTATTATGTCCATTGTAAAAATCAGCATAAAAAATCTTATGTGTCAAACTATAATTTATATATATGTATATTAATGATTGTTCTAAAAGTGATCTCAGGTAGGGGCATCTGGGTGGCTCAGTTGGGTATGCGCCTGACTTTGGCTCAGGTCATGATCTCGCATTTCGTGGGTTCCAGCCCCGCGTCGGGCTCTGTGCTGACAGCTCGGAGCCTGGAGCCTGCTTCCGATTCTGGGTCTCCCTCTCTTTCTGCCCCTGCGCCACTCACACTCTGTCTCTCTCAAAAATAAATAAACATTTTTTAAAAATCTTAAAAATGAACTCCGAAAACTCACGTTTTCCTTCAAAAGCTTCCACAATTCCTTGGCAAGTCTCGTAACTGATAATTTACTCTGAGTGGCTTTTGGCGATGCTTTGCAGCGGGACTCATGGGACCCGTCAGAGTAGAAGGAAGATACGTTAGATCCTGAGTTAAGCTTCTCCTGGTCATGTATTGCCTCTTTTCGACCTCCACGCTGGTACCGTGCTGCTCTCCTTGTCTGCTCTGTGAGATGTAATAGCACACAGGTCTGGGACTTCGTGACAGATGAGATTTTCTTTGTGGGTTTTTAAAGAAATAATGAAACACTCTAAACACATACGAAAATAAAATAAACTAAAATAACAAACTGCTGTGTACTCACCTGCTTATTTATCTTTATCTAATTAGCAGGCTTGTGTCGGTTTTGTCCTTGGCGGATAACCAGAGAAATTAAATCAAACCTAGAGTTTTTAAAAAAATATGAAGCCAGCTGCAGGAATCTCTCTTCTGGGATAGAAGGATAGGATTTATTGCATAAATCAGCTGCCTGGATTGCCTCTTGGGACAGTTTACAACAGCCGTGCTTCATACACATGCTTAGGAAGGAAAGGCCTGCTCACAGCCGTCCGTGGGGATGCTGCTTGAGGGACAGCATGTGTCAGGAAACGTGTCTGCTTCGGTAGCTCAGGGCTTCCCGTGTTGGTAATGGGTGTTTTGAGAATTCAAATTACTATTCTTAATTTTTCACTGATTAAGAGTTACTTATAATCTGATCATTTTTATAGATGAGTTATGAAAATAATATGCTTTTACACTGAAAGAGATAGAGGCTACGTGAAGAAGTTAATGATAATTATGATCGAAGAGAGACACTCTGTTAAATTCTTTGACAAAGGTTTAACCTGTCTGCTAGTCAGCATCAGTTTAAAGGCTGTATTCTCCTATTTCCTTACAGAAGCATTTTTCAACCATCCTTTTCTTGAGCAAGTTCCAGTGAAAAAATGTGAGTATCCATTTTTTTGCATTTTTACGTGAAGAGTAAATGCAGACTTAAGGAAAAATTAGTGTTTTGTGTTACAAAATTAATTTCATTGTGCTTCTCAAGATTTCATTGAGCTTTTCTTAAATACCCGTAGCTGTATTTACTTAATTACAGTTGTTTGTCCCAAATCTGGGTGGAAACAGTTTTAGTAATTGCTGCATTTTCAGTTTCATCCATGGGAGGTGTAATAAGTTGGTGAGTGTGAATTTGGGGTCAACATGAAGGTGTAGTAGGGTTTTTTTTTGTTTGTTTTTTTTTTTAATTATTTATTTATTAAAAAAATTTTTTTAACGTTTATTTATTTTTGAGACAGAGAGAGACAGAGCATGAATGGGGGAGGTTCAGAGAGGAGACACAGAATCTGAAACAGGCTCCACGCTCTGAGCTGTCAGCACAGAGCCCGACGCGGGGCTCGAACTCACGGACCGCGAGATCATGACCTGAGCCGAAGTCGGATGCTTAACCGACTGAGCCACCCAGGCACCCCTACATTTATTTATTTTTGAGAAACAGACAAAGCGTGAGCGGGGGAGGGGCAGAGAGAGAAGGAGACACAGAATCTGAAGCAGGCTCTGGGCTCTGAGCAAGCTGTCAGCACAGAGCCCGATGCGGGGCTCGAACCTGCAAACTGTGAGGTCATGACGTGAGCTGAAGTCGGACGCTCAACCGACCGAGCCACCCAGACGCCCCGAAGCTGTAGTGGTTTTGACAGAGTTTCTGTTAGACAAGCCATGTAACTGCCGTACAGAGTGACGTCTGTCTTCATCCGTGTCTCTTCCCCCAGCCTGCCCGGTCCCGGTGCCCGTGTATGCTGGCTCTGTCTCCGGCAGCTCCTATGGCAGCTCCCCGTCTTGTCGTTTTGCCTCTCCACCGGTAAGCTTTGCTTTCATTGACGGTAATTTTCAGTTAGTGCTATTGCATCTGTCCACACCTAAGCCTACAGGCACACTGTGGATGACCTTTTTATGTGTCGTGTTTACTGGGGCAACTGAGGTTTGGGGAAAGAGCATTATTGTTGAGTCAAATAGACCTAGATGTGGATCTCTGCCCTTATGTAGCTATGTAAGCTGCAGCAAGGAATGTCATCTCTCTGGGCCACTTGCCTCTGAACAGCGGGTACAGTACTCTCACCTTGTGCCTTAGGGGGTTGGAAAGAATGATCATTGCAAAGGGTACCTATTACAGGTAGATAGGTAATGTTTATTTTATCTGAGTGTCATGACACCAGCTGGGGAGTTATGGTATCTAGAATTTCCAGTGGCGGTGAGTGCACTTTCCGCGGACCCGGACCCCCACAGTGGCGGCTGCCAGCCCTTCAAGACCTGCTCACCACTGGCCTCTTCTTCCTCCTGGGCTCCCTGGCCATTTCTCCCACGGTTGTCTTTCCTCCAACCTAAGTGCTTCTTCTAGACCCTGAGAGCTTCTGCTCACTCCATCTTCCTACTCCACTCTCCCAGGGTTTTACTTTGCCCTTTTCTGACCCTTGCCCCAAATCTCTGTTGCAGTGTGGGTTGTGACCTTGAGGCTTTTCCATAAGCTGAAGGTCCAAGGGCTCTTGTGTCAGCTATTGTGAATATTTTCCAGATTAGCCTGGCAGACATGAATTTCTTGAATTCTGCTAGCAGAGCGTGGGGCAGTTGTAAAAGGAGATGATTGTGTAATTAGTGGGTTCAACTCAGAGGTTTAAGAGCATGGGGCTTGGGACTTCTGTATCCCTTACTTGCCACAGTTAACCAGGACAAATGACTTAAACTCTCTTAACCACGTTTCTTCTATGTAAAGTGAATGTAATTTACCTATTTCGTAGAGTTTTTTAAGAATAAATGAGCAAACACACTTTTACTACACTGTCTGGTACATAATAAATACTCTGTGGCAACTAATGCTATTATTATTTTCAAGGGAAACCTAATAGCCCCTTAGCTAGAGCAGATGCCGAAGCAGCCTGTCGCAAAAAGATGAGTCCTAAAACTGACAAAAAAACCTTTCTGCATAACCCTGCAGACTTAAGCCAAGTAGAAAAAGCAGATGGGCTAATAAGACTTACATTATATTTCCATGAATTGAAAAAACCTTGGGTGGGGGGAACCCAAGAGGAAAAAGAGAAGAGCGTTGTGTATTTCCTACTTCAGTCCGGAGTATAAGAAAACACTGCTTTGGAGTGATTGGGGAGAAGTGTGGAGGAAGTACTGACATGGAAAGACAGCTGGTGTTATTTGGAGCTGGGCACAACTGCTGGTTGCTCACCCTTCACTTTGGGCAGGTCAGTTCCAGAGCTGAGCCGTGGCTCCCTCATCTGTAGCACAGGCTTCATTGCGCTTTGCCCGAAGAGCAGCCGTAGTGAGTAGTTGATAAACTGTAGCTATTATTATGAAGTCTGCATTTGATACAGTGTGATACATAATATGAAAAGCAAAGTTTAGGCTTGAGAAAGGAACCACAAGGAAGGATCTGATTATGGGAGAGATGTGGGAGAGTAAGAATAAAGGAGCCTGTTTGTAGAACGACCAGGGAATGAGAAAGAGGGGTTCCAGTAGGAGGGACATTGAATTGGAAATTGCTTTGACTGGAGAGAGCAAGTTCGGTTTTTTTTTTTTTTTTTTTTTTTTTTTTTTTTTTTTTTTTTTTTTTTTTTTTTTTTTTTTAGGGGGGTGGCATTGAAAGGGAGAGCCTACAGAGCTAGCTTGGCTGCTAGGGAAGAGATGGAGTGTTAACAGCAGTGAGGACACACAGGAGGGAGAGAAGAGGCATATTTAGATGCTACAAACTGTGGTGGAAAAACATTTTAGAAGGTCTTTATTAAAAGCTAATGCTTGAAGTGAAAGTAAAAAGGAAAGCTGGGGAATAAAAGGAAATCAAGAGTGTTTCTGTATAATTTCCAGATAGCGAGATCAGAAAATGGGATGGTTTAGGGAACCTGGACGGCTCAGTTGGTGGAGCATGCGAGTCTTAATCTCTGAGTTGTGAGTTCAAGGCCTACTTTGGGTGTGGAGCCTGCTTAGAAAAAGAGAAAGAAGAGGGGCGCCTGGGTGGCACAGTCGGTTAAGCGTCCGACTTCAGCCAGGTCACGATCTCGCGGTCCGTGAGTTCGAGCCCCGCGTCGGGCTCTGGGCTGATGGCTCAGAGCCTGGAGCCTGTTTCAGATTCTGTGTCTCCCTTTCTCTCTGCCCCTCCCCCGTTCATGCTCTGTCTCTCTCTGTCCCAAAAATAAATAAACGTTGAAAAAAAAAAATTAAAAAAAAAAAAAAAAAAAAGAAACAGAGAAAGAAGAAAGAAAGAAAATGGGACTGTTTAACAAGCATTGCTTTGAACGTAATCTGACAAAAGTAAGATTATTTCATACATGCATCCTTCCTACGGCTGGAGTTGATTCTCATACTCAGGGTTGATACACACAGACACGTACACATGACATTGTCTTTTTCACCTTCTCACACAAATCTCCAGCTGCTGCTTTACTCTAGAGAAATCTTTTTTTTATGTTTATTTGAGAGAGAGTGCTTGCGTGCGAGTGGGGAGGGGCAGAGAGAGAGAGGGAAAGAGAGAGTCCCAAGCTGTCAGCGCAGAGCCCGACATGGGGCTCAATCTCATTACAGCGAGATCACGACCCAAGCCGATATAAGGAGTTGGATGCTTGACTGACTGAGCCCCCCAGGCGCCCCCCCAGGGAAATCTCAGAAAGGCAGAAAAACAAAAAACAAAATGAATAAATAGTCTTTCAGTTATGATACTGGCTATAGGTTAAGTGCTATTTAGGTGATATTTCTTGAGTATTTATTGGTTTCATAATATTTATTAAATGTCTACTTTGTGTAAGGTTCTGGTTGATACTAATGGAGGAGACAGTCAGGTCCCTTACATTAAGGAGCTTTTAGTTTAGTTGTGTGGAGAGGAGGCCGGGAAATGGGTCGCTATTAGAAGCGTGTGTGTGTGTCTCTGTTTACTGCCTGTGGGAACACGAATGAGGAGCATCACGTCAGAGCAGCAACTGAGAAGGGCTGCTGGGGAGGGCAGGGAGCGGCTGCGTTTTGGAGAAAGACGTAGCAAGGTGCAGTAGTGAAAGAATGGTATCGTAGGTGGAGGAGTTCCTGTTCGTGAAGTCACGGAAGCACGGCCCACTGAAGGAACTCTGTGGGCCCCCCTCCCCCCCGTACCCACTTTAATTTAAATTTGTTAGAATGAAGTGAAATTTAAAACTTTGTTCCTTAGTCACGTTCAGTCGCCATCGATAGCTAGCAGATCTGTAACATGCTGGACAGCTCAGATGCAGACTGTCTCCCTCATCGCCGGAGGTTCTGTGGACAAGGCTTCTCGGAGCAGTCCAGACTGGTGGATGCCGAGAGCGGTGGTGGTGAGGGGAGGTGGACGTCGTGCTAGAGAGGCAGGGAGATGCTGCATCTTGACAGGGTGTGGCTGCGGTGAGCCATCTGAATGGAGGTGTGATGTGACCCGCTGTGTGTTTTAGCCAGATTCTCCTAAAAGCAGGGTGGAGGACTGGATTTGAGACTGGTAGAGAGTAGAGTGGTCTCTCTGGTAGAGGAAGGAGAACAACCGCAGACTGTTGCACCTTTCTTGTTTTTTTTTTTTTCTGAGAATGAGGGCCTGAGCTAAGGGGAAGGTGGGACCAGGTAAGAGAAAGGTAGTCTGCAGAGCTTGGAATTGCTTGAACTGGGGAATGAACGGATGGATGATGAAGTCGCTGGGTGTGGGAGTGTGTTTGTGGGGGGGTGCTCTGGAGAGTAAAGGTGGTGAGTTGGTCCATCGCTCACTGGAGATATCCAGGCTGCAGAGGTGAGGTGGTACTTGAAGGCAGGAGGGTGAGAGTGGTCACTGGGGTGAGGCTAAGCATGTGAGGAGTAGAGGGTCCAGACTGGCGCCTTGGGAAACTCCAGACTCTACTCGTCTCCTTTAAGGGACAGATGGGAAGCGGGTATCCACAAAACAGATGGAGAAGTAGGAGGAAAAGCAGGGTCACTGAATAAAGGGGTAGAGTGTCAAGAATGGTCTGCAGAGCAAGTGTAACGTAGCTCGGATAAATTAAGGAAGAGAGCGAGAGTCCACATGACTTGGCAATGGGAAGGTCATGATGAGCCTAATAAAGACCGTTTTATTGGACAGTTGAAGGTAGAAGTGGATTATGGTGGGTTGAGGGATACACATGAGATGAGGAATTTGAGTCCATGAAGATTGATGATTTCAAGAGATACTGTTAAAAAGTAGTCAGAGAAGATGGTAATTAAGAGGGCTGCAGGGATTTGAGACGTGACAAAATGAAGTGTGTTCATGTGCAGAGAGGAGAAGGGAGAGGGTGAGTGTCGGGCAGAGGGAAGTTGGTCTTGGTCTCTGAGGAGGTGGAGGGGAATAGAATTAGAGCACAGGTGGAGAAGCGAGGAGATCTCTTCCACTCAGATGTTGTGGGTGCAGATAATATTACAAATGCAGGGAAGAAAGTGAGAAAGTTCCTGCCTAAACCACTGGAAAGAAATTATGGAGTTAAATACTTAGAATCACATCTCAACTTGACCGCTTTTTAGTTGTATGATCTTGGGCAAATTTCCTAAACTTCTGAGGGGTGTGTGTGTGTGTGTGTGTGTGTGTGTGTGTGTGTGTGTATGTGTAGATGTATATCTCTATATCTATATATTATATATAAATGGGTTTCAGAACATGATTGGAGTTAAGTAATACATGGAAAGCTCTTAACAGTGTCTAGCCCACAGTGACGATCAGTAGTGTAAGTCTCTACGTTGTCCCTTCTCTTTATTACCTTGACACATAAGGTCTCTCTAAAAAGTGATGAGATTGTATGTCATGTGTATGTCTCTTTCTCTCTGTCTCTCCGTCTCTCTCTCTCTCTCTCACACACACACACACACACACACACGCACACGGTAGGAGATTTGAGACAGCTTTCATTGCACAGTGACATTCAAAGAGCCCTTGCAGTGAATTGGGTGTTTAAGACATGGGTTTAAGTTTAAAGGACATTGTGGTATTTTTCCTTTTCTTACATAGAAACAGAGGTTAAACAGGGTAATAGGGGACTTAACACAATAAGTTAGGAAGTTCATTGTTTTAGAAAACCATTGTATCATCAAGACATTCAATTAGAGGTGTCACTAGAGTCCTTGAACTAGGCAACTGCTAAAAGATATATAGCTGCTTACATCTAAGTCTTTGCTTAAATGTATCTCATAGGCTTTTCTTCCTTTCTTTTCTTTTTTTTTTTTTTTTTTTTTTTTTTTTTTTTTTTTTTAAATTTTTTTTTTCAATGTTTATTTATTTTTGGGACAGAGAGAGACAGAGCATGAACGGGGGAGGGGCAGAGAGAGAGGGAGACACAGAATCAGAAACAGGCTCCAGGCTCCGAGCCATCAGCCCAGAGCCTGACGCGGGGCTCGAACTCACGGACCGCGAGATCGTGACCTGGCTGAAGTCGGTCTCTTAACCGACTGCGCCACCCAGGCGCCCCTCCTTTCTTTTCCTACCCCCTAACAAAAGAGAAACCAAAGGAACGTAGCCACCACTTGTAAGGTTTTCCAAATCTTTCTGTGCGTGTAAGTGAACCTCTAGGCTTGAATGCAGTTACCCTTATTGATTTCTTTACTTTTTGACATAACATGCTCTCTTGCTTTCCTGTTTATGATGTTTTCTTCATCATAGGTTTAAAACTTTTTCAAGTCGTGCAGGATGTCATTAACCTAGAGTCTCTGCGTTTTAGTCATTAAGTGAACAGTTATTAAGTATCTGCTTTGCTAGGCCAAGAGCCGAAACTGGGGATGTTGAGATGATAAAAACGCACCTCGAAAATTGCAGGAGAAGCAGACATGTACATGATAAGTGGTATGATATATTTTTAAGTATCATTTTTGGAGAACATTTGAGAAGTCTTTATGCAAAGACACTTTAAAACTGTGCTTTTCTAAGGGAGAGATTTTCCAAAGAGAGGTTTTTTTTTTGCAATTTTAAGCTGGAATTGAACTTTAGGCCCACTTTTATGAAGACAGTATTCCTTAGTCTTGTGGCTGTTCTGACGTGCATTGTATTATTAGGCCAGTTTTAATTTTCTGTTGTTCATTTTAGTCCCTTCCAGATATGCAGCATATTCAGGAAGAGAACTTATCCTCCCCACCGTTGGGTCCTCCCAACTGTCTGCAAGTGTCCAAAGATTCTGCCAGCACTAGTAGCAAGAACTCTTCCTGTGATACGGATGACTTTGTTTTGGTTCCACACAGCATCTCGTCAGACCACTCATGTGAGAACCTTTTCTGCTTGTACACGTTACATACTTCTTACTTGGCTAGACTCGCATTTATTTTCAACCTTTGTATCACGCTCTCTTGTGTAGGGGGCCCTTTCAAACGGTCACGTTATTTAGTGGCTGGAATTCCCAGAGTTATGTACCCGCCTTTCTAAAATCTGCTCAGGCACCTCCCATAAAGCAGTAACTTTGGATTCTGAAGGTAGATGGAAAGTTTACAGGAGACAGTAGAAACAGATAGAAAAGCCAGCAGACCAAGGGAAATTAAATCTAAGGAAAGGAGCGAAAAGAACGCCTCTTTTGCAAGACAGCCTAAGAGTCAAGGGAGTCTAAAGTCAGTCTGGATGCCCTTCGGAGGATCCTGGCGTAAGGTCGGGGATGGGTTTTGTAAATGTATAGGAAGAATTTTTATAAAGGAAGCAGAATCCAAGTTGGCCAAATATAGTCAGGGCTCTAATGGAATAATTAAGGGCACCAGAAAACCTACAAAAAAGAGACTTAGACAAAACAAAAAAGGAACAATAGTCTGGTTGTGAAGGAACTGGATCAGAAAAACTAGAAATTTGATTACTTTGGTACTTAAATAGTCTCAGGTTGACTGTGTGTGCGAACAGGTGGTTGGAAAAGTTGGTATCCAGAGGTCTCTTTAATCATTTGCCAAATACTGATTTAACAGCTGCTGTGTCAGGCACCATGCTAGCTGCTGTGAAGAGCAAACGCACTTTACCATTTATTTTATGGACACCGCAGCAGGAGTAGATGGCAATTTACGATCAGTGCTCTCCCACCTCAGAGTTACCTTTCAAAGATCGTCCAGCATACATTGGGGGTTTTATTTTATTTTATTTTATTTTTTTAAAGTAAGTAAACCTTAAACATTATGAAATATTTCAAACAGGAAGTAATACAGCAGATACTCCAGTCACCACCATGCTAATTTTATTTATGTCAACATTTTGCCGTTTTGTTTTAGATGTCCTTTTTTAAAGATAAAAATGCTGTAGGTACAGCTAAAGTCCTTGTCCTTATTCTACTCTTGCCAGAGGTAAATTCTTTGTGTCGATTTTTTCTTATACTTCCACATATGCCAGGATCTGTAAATAACATACGGTATTCTTGTGTTTATACAGTTTTTAAGTAAATAGTATAAAGAAGCTTTCTATAGTTTGTTTTTTTATGCATGGTTTTGCTACAAAGCTAGATATATATATGTATATATATATCTAGGTGTGTGTCTAGTTCATTTTAATATCTGAATCTCACAGTACAACTAAACCACAGTTTGTCTATTTCTGTGCTGATGGTTACCTGGATTATTTCTGTCTTTTCACTATTCAGAATGTATTATAACAGATGTCCTTGGATCAGAGTTCCTTCCACATGGATACTTCAGAAATTTTCAACCTCAAATCTACAAAATATTGGTTCACACAAGTTGTAGCCAGTCAGTAGCCTCTGCCATGCTGCCCCTAATGGTATAATGGTACCTTCTAAAGAAAAGTCTTTACCTGGAATTCATTTTTGTAGATGGAATAAAGCAGGGATCCTATTATTAAATATTCTGTCCTTTCTCTACTGATAGGCAATTCCAGATTTGTCATAATCAGGTTTATATAAAGGATTAAGGTTTTTTTTTAAGGTTTTCTGTCCCATTGGTCTATTTGTCTATATTATAAATCATTTTTAAATTTCATTTATTTAATTAAAAATTTTTTTTTTTTTTTTTTTTTTTTTTTT